CAAAGTTCTATTTTTAGAACTCTGCAGCAGTAGAGCTTAAGCGAAGGCTGTTCGAATTCACGTCTTTACAGGTCGAACGACTGATCGCGATTGACTTTTCTATTTGGTGCTCTCGGACTTGGTGTGTTTGGCAATCAACAAGGAGAAAAGAGCGGGACAGGGAGAGAAATGGAACACAAAATAACGAAATGGATGTCGGTAAAGTTTTGTGCCTTTGTGTAAATATTTTGCACGGAAATTGCATTTGCGGTGCCGTTTGCAACAGTTTTAGTAGCTGCAACAACTACAACAGCAACAACAACCACCAGAATGACGTTGATGATGAGGATGGCGGTGTGCTGGGCGGATGTAGATGATGACGATGGCGTGATAATTAAAATTGCGAGAAACTTGTGTAATAGAGTTGCGAATGCAGTGCGGCGTGCTAAATGTGGCAAGCGCAACGAGCAGCAGTGCCAAATTACAATGAATGAATAATGGGGAGAGGATGAATGAACAAATAACACAAATACTGTGCATTCAGATGGCATTTGGATGAAGTCTGATGGGTTGATTAATGAAGAAGCAAATCAAGGAGACAAATCAGGCTCAAAGCAATTGATTTGATCAGCTATGCCGACCGATGGATTCCTTCACATTTCAAAAAGTTGGCTCAAAGTGCGTTAGCAGAGAGAGTTTATTATTTGGTATGCACAATGAGAATGCAATGCAAGTTGCAAAGCGCTTTAGGGGCTCTTGGATATGCTGACATTTGCATAATGCTCGACAGTATGAAAAACAAATTGGAAGCAGTTAAGCTTCGAGTTAAGTCACTCTGCAACATAATTCAATTTGTCTTAGTGCCAAATGCAGGAATAATTAAGGCGCGCTTGGTAGAAATAATGAACTCTATAAAGTTTTACCAGCACAGTAAAATATGGAAAACGTGGCAGCCAACAAATGCCATGAAATTATAAAATGCTTGAAGGACGAAAAGTTGTTGCCACTTAACCGAAAGTTTTCTTAAACACGACGAAGCGATCCACGCAACGACTTGCCAAAGTTTTTCAATAAGCAGCAATGCCAAAAACAAGGCTCAACATGTGTTCCAGACCTGGCCATCAAGGAGCTTCTGAGGGCAACGCAGGAACTACAGAACTGTGAAAATGTGTTGAAGCCAGTGAAAGCTTTGCCTTAGTGAAACAGGGAGAAGCAGGCAGAGTAATAGCTGAGAAAATATGGAAGCCAAGGACAGGGAGCATTATAATTTATGATAAGCCAATAAAAATAATTGAAATACATTAAAGGCAGGCAACGCCAACAGCCAACAGCCAACAGCTAACAGAAAGTGCCAGCCACACATCTGCCCATTCATATGTGAGTGAGGGTACGACGAACCCAGTTGGAGTTCTTTCATCGATTGCTGTGAGGTAAATCGAACTGGGGGAGGCACGAGAATATTAAAGTAATGGCACGCAATAAAAGGCGAGGCATAAAAAACGACTCGGGAATGTCAAAGTTGAGCCGCACGCCTCAAGACATTCTGATTGCGGCTACTGCTGTGTGAAAGGTATGAAAAATACAAAACAATATAAATAAAACATGGCGGAAAGTAATGTCAGCATTTGGAGGTGAAATTCGGCGGGTTAAGGCGAGACGCGGTATGACTAAGTGATTGCTGTTTGATGATTGTTGTTCGAATCGAGATAAGATGACAAAAGACTTTGATTTGCGTGCTTGCGTCAGCGATGAGTAGAGATTTCCCATATGGCTTACATTTCAGTGGCTTACGCTGCGTATGCGTAACAAGGACGGAAGCAGCGATAAAGTGACAAATTGCACACGTATTTCACATTTCCTTTAGTTGCTTGAGACATGTCCCATTTACACATCTAATGGACTGTTTTCATGTCAGTTTGGATTTGATGTACTCATTAAGAAGAGGGCAGTAGTCACATGGAGATACCTTTCATTATATTGTTATTGTTTTAACTGTTTAGTATATCAATTTAAGTTCACAGTTAGCTATAAGTCATGAAAGTTTGCTTGCGCAGTTGAGAAACTAAACTTAGCTCAACATCTTTCAGCATTTGTAAAAAGTTTTCTTCATCCACCAGCCACACATTTATCCCCTAGTTGAACTATGCACCATTTCAAACTCCTAAGCCGCAGCTGCTTGGCCACTAAAAGTTAAACGCGTTAAATTTCACAGCTAAGGCTTTGGCTTATGTCCGTTAGGCTATGATATTTTCCGCTTGACAGCCTTACTTTATTTGGCTCGCTTTTTAACTTAATTCTATTTAAAAATATGTTTTTATTTCAGGCTTTTAGCAAGTTGAATTATTTATTCAGGGTCTGTTTTTTGTGTTCTTTGTTACATTTTTATTGAATCAATATAAAACTCAAAAACCGCTGTGCGATCAATTTGGAGCTGACAACAAAATACTTTTGCCACATCATCACAAATGCAGCAAATTAATAAATTTCATTAAATTTCAATTTGCTGCGCTTTTGTGGCTTGCAACGGGCGGTGGCAACAGCGACCTGGGAAGGGTTCAATTTATTATGTGTCTGCTTTGCATAGCAGCAGTAAAAATAACAAAGGCCAGCGACAACGACAACAACAATAACAAGAACCAAATGTTAGCGACAACAGCACAATATTTTTATTTCATTATGTACGGCAGGAAGAGGAAGAGCGACAAAGAAGGTGGCGGAAAGGCAGGCCAAGCAAGGGAAAATGGGACAACAATAACGATAATCATAATAACAACAACAATGGTACGAGGCGTCGTTAACGCCTGTGAGGGAGAGGGGCAGGGGCGCATGATTGACAGTTTTACATGCTGATGGTTTGCTGGTCAGTGTCCTCTCTGAACGGGGTCAAACGAGCACGTGTGTCGAGTGTATGTGTATGTATGCGAAAACACACTGTGGCTGGCGTTGCAATTCAAGCTACAGATGTCTGACATGAAGCTGATGCCGTGTCTCCATGCGCAACCAACCTCGACGGGAGCTGGGTGAGTATGCCAGGTTTTGGCTGACTCTGCATTTTGCTCCATGTCTCTTGGTAAAGCTGGGAAAACAGGAACTACAACAGAATGCAGTTTAATTTGCAATCCAAACAGAAGTTTCAAATTGCACAAGGAATACACAGAAGGTAAAAGGAGAAGCAAAAAGAAGTTGAATAAAATTTTAAGCGCATGTTGGTTAAAAGATGTTTACCACAAGTTGAACAATGTATTTTGCGGAGCTGTGCTAAAAAAGTCCGACAAAATTCTTAATTAGACTAAGTTTATCGCAGACCATTATTCAGAATATGAAATTAAATGGTATATGGCTAAATGTATATGAAAGCAGAGATTCCATTCTGAAAAAAAGACATACTATACATATATGTAATACGGAGATAACTAACTGTATTATACAAGTAAAAATTGTATTAATGAAAACTATTTAATAATCGCAAACCGACTAACTAACGACGAATTAAAAAAAAATTAGATACCTGACATTCCTCATATTGCATTTGAATTGCAAATGTCCTCTGTCAACAATATTTGTTTTAATATGTTAATTTAATTATACAAATTCAAAATGGAACTTCGCAGATTAAAAATCTTTTGATCGCTATATTACATAAATAAAGACAACAAAAACCTATATATTTTTTTTTATTTTATAAAATTAGCTAGAGAGCTGATCAACTTCTGCTCATTGTTATATATATTATTAATTTAAAAAGGCATAAAAAGTTTCAAAGTCAACAAAGTGTGGTTAATTTATTAAATTTGCTTTCATAATTTTATTGCAAGATAAGCCTTTTATACTCATGTTTTTTATATTTTGTTTTTAGCTTAATATGCTACGTTGGCAAAAATACAAAATTGCCTTTTTAAATATCACGTATACGCACCGCATGCTGATATGCCGTATGCAGCTGGCACATAAATCAAAACTCATAAATTTTATTACTCTCCTTTTTTATTATACGCCCTGAAGGAATGAGGGTTTCTAAGTCTGGGGAGCTGGCTGGATAAATATATTCGCATATTTCAAATGCTTTTAACAGAGCTTTTTTTTAACTCTGTTAAGCCTTGTGATTAGGCTGTGTCGTTCGAGTCTGTCAGGAGTATTTTGAATTATTAATGTGAGTGGGGATAAATGTCTGATGTAAGTGCCGAATTAGATGGAAGTAAGCAATACTCGAACTTATTTCGGTTGCAGATTCCAAAATACATTGAGCTGGGCGAAATCTCTCACCCAGTCAATTAGCAGCAACAGCAGCCAAGTGACCAATCCAATAAATTGGTAGCCATGCTCTGCTCTTGCCTCGAGCTGAGATACATCAAACATGCATTCCCCAGTACGAGCCTTCCGGATATGCAACACTTCTTGTGGGTTGTATGGCGGGGAAGGCGAATTGATGTGGCTGTGGCTGCTTGCTGTCGCTCGTTGCGTTGGTTTCCCTGTCGCCCGCTGGTAGCTTCCTGCTGCTGAGGTAAGTTTAATGCAATTTAAATGGAACTTTCCTGCTTTCATTTATTGAATACGCATTCCAGCACACACAAAGGGGACAGCATGGCAGGCTGCAGCTGTAAATTTTCATATTTGTCACATAATTGGGACAAGGACTTTCTCTGGCTGCAACTGCAGGACATGCCTTCAATTTGTCCAAAACTTAAATGGAACAATGTGTGGCAGATAGCTGGACGTGGACTCCCACAAAGTGTCCTCAAGGGCTACTGGACTTTGCTGGTCCTGCTGTTGACGACATGAAATCTGCAAGGGAAACAGACATAAGTCCCTGTCATTTGCCGCACTTGACTTGTTGGCGCACAGATGACCCCTCTCTCTGCCTCATATTCCTATTCCAACTATCTCCAACCCATAGGCAAATAATATTATAATATGTATAATTCACTCGCCCTGCTCTGTTTGATGTGTAATGTTTACTCTGCTTAAAGTGCCACTCCGCGCCTTCCCGCTTACTCAGTGATAATATTCCAAATTAGGTTTACCAAGTATTTCGCCTTGCTCGCCTAATGCATTTTGCCAGTCTCCCAGCGGTGCCTGCAAAGAAATACCAGAGAAACGTCAAATGTCGTATTTTATGCTGGGTTCCCTTCTAATTCAGAGAGTCTAAAAATATTTAAATGGAAAAACAGATTGTCGTGTGGTTTCGTGTTTGAATAATAAAATCATTTTAGGGTGGCTCATAAAACTCGCTCTGCGTGGGTCGAGGTAGAAAAATATTCGATATCGCAGGTTGGAAATTGGGAATTTAATAATGGCTCCCAGAAGTATTTCGTATTATCATCGAAAATCAAACAAAATTTGTTAAAATATTTAGTGTTATGTCTGCCATTCCGATGACTGTGAACACACGCGTTTGATACTATGAAGAGGTGTTTTGTTGTCTCCTTTGTCGTTGTTTAAATTAAATTGGCTCACACCAGGGCTCGCCTCTTCTGCATTATTCTGCAGCTAAGTAAATATTTAGCCGGTGAATTTTTAATTTAAGGCTTTTCTGTGGTGGTATGTGAAAGGTGTGGAACAAGTCAGCTTCGGAGCTCAGAGGTTGATCCAAGCATTTCATTGGCTCGTTCTGTGTTTACTTTCGCTTTTATTAATTTTCTCATGCAGGCGCAGAAGCTTCTGTCCCCTGTGAATCCTTTTATCAGCGAGAGGATCTGTTGACAATTCTGGATTAAAGGGAACCCTTTTGCCACTCACAGTGTCCCTATCCCAGTGCCCTCCTGCCTCCCAAGCAAATAAATTCTGGTTGACACAGTCTAAACTGGGACTTTTCATGGGTGCACTTCGTTTCTGGAATCAGATTAGGTGTTTACGGTACCCTTCGTGTAGTGCCTCGATTTGCATTCAAATATCCACATCCCGTTCGTCTGTGCGGTTCGTCAAGGTGAATTCATTGCCAAGTAAATAAAGTGAAAAGAAATTCCGATGCCAAACAAATTTGATTTCCTCTGCCTGAGGCACTCAACTGAGCGAAAGTCGGACAGTTTGGCCCCATTTGCCGTAAGCAATCCAAAATAGCAACAATTTAATTGAAAATTAATGGCACATTTTCAAAAGCAGATGGCATTTTCGTATTAACTAAAGAACTTTGCCTCCAATAAATAAGGTAAATAATTAGTTGGCCATTGACTGTGGAAACTTGAGAACAGCTGGGTTAGTCGTGGGAATGGCAACCTCTGCGTGCAGTGTTCGTAAATCTCTGGGTAACAATAAAAACACATTTCTCCAAAATGTTTTCAGAATAAAGGAATTTTTGTTCATAAGAAGTCAGTCATATCGTATGCCTATATAGAAATGGTGATGCAAATATTTACAGTCCGAAGGCAATTAACTATTCCATTCATTTCAAGTTTGTTTGCAGAATGCCAAATTCAAAAGGAATGAGTCGTCAGCAGAACTAAAATTGGCCCGAAAGAGGAAATAAACGAAGAAGCCAGCAGTGAAGAAATAACAATGGAAATGAATACAATTAAAACAAAGGCAGGCCAATAAAAAGAACACAAATTTAAATAATTATGCGAGACAAAATTCATTAGCTTTAAAGACAGGGCTGCGTTTTATGTCTCCATCTGCGACACTTGTCTTGAATTAGGTGCGAATGCCAGAGTTGATTGTTGCTGCCTTTGTCTGTTATTTTCATTGGCTGGAGATAGAGAAGAACGAGTCAACTAAGCCGAGCGATAACTTTTAAACTGCATTGAAATGACAAGAGAAATGTGGTCCAAGGAAGCGGAGGCAACATTTCAGATATTTATCTTGCTGCTGTTTCGTGTATTTGTCTTGTCTTGGCATATCTCAGGATTTAGAACATCCTCTCAAGTTAGCTGGCAATATTCGAAGCAACAACGGAAGCAATTCACACAATGCAAATTTGTGAGTCAAGTTGAGCACTTCCTTCTGCTTCTATCCCCTGCCTTGCCTTCGCAGAAGAGCTTCCTTTCAATTACAGAGAAAATATGAGAAGGCAGTTGGAAATTCCACTTCAGCCCTTTTCTCATTTTGCATGCAAGCAAAGTCTATTAAAGATGATTTATTTGAAACATATTTCCACCTTGGCTCTTGAGGATAAACTTTCTTACAGTCATAGAATAAATTTGAAGAAACAGCATACAAATCATATGAAACTTTGCAAACAGAAACAAAGTCTCTTAAATAAAATCTAATTTCTTTTCTAGGGAAAACGTTTTTCTCTTTGGAACTTTATCTGGTCGTTTAGACTGTTTTGCATATCATTCCATTGTTCCTAGCATCGGACACTTCAGTCTCTATTCATCTCCGCTTTGAGGTCTCCATTTGCACAGCTAATTTTTCATTTTTAATGAGCTTGGTTCATCTCCGCCTGCTCTTCTCGTCTTTCCTGTTTACCTGAATCGTAGACGGGCTCTTTGTCGATTATCCACTCATCTCAGCGCTTCTCAGGAGCACGTAGCCAATGCCGAGCAGTTTATCAAAATGGCACACGGCTTTAAATTGTGCAACTCTGTTAGTCGCCTTATTAATGACAGCAATTTAAGTGCTCATTATTCTTTGTGCCCGCCAAGCACTTTGCACTGCTTCGTCTTCCCAGCCACGCCCTGCGGAAATGATGTTGTCACCAAGTCAAATCGCTTTATATCCGCTTCGGGGGAAATGACTTGGACACGGATTCACCTTTCAACTACATTTCTTTTGCACCTGCACTATGTTGGCTTTGGATTTGGCTTTGTTTTGTTTTATTCCCTTTCAGCTTTTCTTCCACTCTCGACTCTGGTCCACGATGCTCTTGGCAAGTTTCAATTATAAACACTCTGAAATTGGCTTAGTGCACTGCGCTTTATGGCCAGGACGTGCGTTGGATTGGCAACAAACGGAAGTTGGCTGCAATCAGTTGAGTGTGGAGCAGGAGGGTAAGCGGCTTCCTCAATGGACTCTCTGCTAGTGGATAGTGCACGTTGAAGTATAGAGCAATCAAGTTGGATTTCTAGTGTGATGCATGACTGAGCAGAAACTTGATGAGTAACATAAAGGCTTAGTGCGAATCTATTGGAATGAAGTTCTAAAAATAATTATACCACGTAAGCGAATTCCGATACAATGAACTAATTTGCGAAAGCTTGTTGAATAGATTAATTTCAATGATTAAAAAATAGCATTGAGGTGTGTAAGGCAATTCTAAAACCTAAAAAGAAACGAATATTTTATTAAGGAATTTTATTGTTTGGCTAATTTATGTGGTCTAATTCTACATCTATTAAGGCAGATAGAAAATAAAGTTTGGGTCAGCTTATGTGGTCATTAAAAAAGTTTGACTGAAGTCGATGAAAATCACAAAACCGAAGATAGCTCAAATGGTGAATGGCAAACGAGACGGCAAGACAGAAGCAAAACATATTCTGAAAACAGCAGGAGCAAAGGAGCCTCCACACTGAGAGGACAACACTCATATCCCTAGTTGACCGTAAAAAGTTTAAATGCGCTGAAGTGGCAGCTGCAAAAAACAAAAAAACAAAAAACACAACACAAATACCTACAGCAAGGGGCATAAACAAACAATGCAAAAACTGAAACACAACAAATTGTAAAAAAGCTGCAAAACTTTTGTAATTGGGTAGTGAGAGCTGAAAGTCTATGCCGAGAAGAAGACAGGCGAAAGGGAAAAGTCAAAATGAAAAATTGTTGCAGCTTGCTTGTGCTTTGGTTCTTGGCTTGTGCCCACATGCAGCAGCAGGAGAAAACTAGCTGAACTATCAACAGCCAGAACGGACAACAATTCAGCACACACTCACACCCACACCTACAACCACAAGCTTACACATATACCCCTACACCCCCTGGACTTCTCCCTCCCTTAAGTCTAACCACACGGACCATATCATTATTCATTTCTGGTTGAGCAAAATTAATGAGTTCGGCTGGAAGGCAGGAGGAGGCGAAGACAGAGGCAGATGCAGAGAATTAAGCAGCTGCTTCTGTGGCTTGTTTGAAGTGGTCTGACCAAATGAACTTGTTGGAGATTGTCCGGTTAGTTGACTCTGCAAACATAAAGCAGAGCAAAAGTACATTAGCATACAGATCTAAATCCTTAATGCATGTGGATTTAGTATAATTTGTGTGGCATATTCCCATTCTTGTCTGTAATATGCACAAATTGCAGTCGAGCTGAGTGAGAGAAAGGAAAAAGAAGATATCATTGAAGGTCATAACAAACTATCAATGTCAGCTAAGCAAATAGAGTGAGAATTACGATTGTTATTTCCTCCATTTAAAGAAAGAGAAGCGAAACGAGGGTCCGAAAAGGGCAACTTTTTTCAATTGGGTCAACTTAATTTGAACGATTCTAAGAAAATCGATAAACAGCAATAAAAATGGGTCATAAAAGAACAAACAGCAACTCTTTAGTATTCTGTGATGACAAGAGATATGTAGAAGTTGAATATGAAATTATTTTATTTTGTGGGAGTTTTTCTCTGTCGTAGACCTATCATTGCATCTGCATTTCAATCAGACTGGCTCTCAAAAGGCTCTTTAAGCCAACATGTTGGCCAATTTGTATGCAGTTTCCATGGCAAGGATTAAGAGCGAAAACTAAAATCGCCTGCAACAAAATGAATCAAAGGTGGGCGAAAAGCCAATGGACTGAGTTGTGTGTCCGCATGCACTGTGTACTGTGTACTGTGGACTGTGGACGCAGCGGTTGGCTTTCAGTCAGTGGGCCTCTGTTGTCGCTTGCACGCACAATTAGGCGACTGAAAAACGCATCAAACAAAACGATGTGCAACGGGAAAAGGCGGAAAATTGCAATAGAAGAGTTCGCACACACAGGAAGCAAACACGAATCCAGGCTGCGTATACGTAATTTCCGGTGCCCTTTTCAGTCACCCCATCACCCAAATTTAAACTGAATGACGCCGAAACAGTAAAGCATTCGAGCAACAATGACTAACCGAGAGATGCGCTTAAATGACTCTCAATGAATACGAACAGGCAGTGCTGTTGCATCGTGCATGAACACGAAAACAATAATGTTGTCTGCTAAGTCTTAAGCCGCTGTGAAA